ATTAAGTAGTCTATTTATAGAGGGAGTCTATAAGTCTTGCACAACACTAGCTTAAGTAGTAATAGTTATACTAAGTATTATTAAGTAAGTAAAGAATTATATTATAAAAAATAAAGTATACACTTTATAATTAAAAGGTGTATTAACTAATAAAAGTGTAACTATAACATAAAAGTATAATTAGTACTTACTTAATTTCTAAAGTAATTCTTTACTATTTAAAAAGAGCTTTTATAACTAGCTATATACTTCTCTAGAGAGCTAGGCACAGCAGCGCTAGTAGCAACAGATCTAGTATGCTGTAGGTCTAGTTTAAAGTATTACCTGTCTAGGATGCCTAGCTTTTTAGGCAAGGTAGGCGTTGTCTAGGAAGTGCGGGGTTAACAGCACAGTTTAGAAGTTGCCTAGGACTGCCTAGTGCGGTCTAGGCTAGTCTATGACAGCCTAGGAAACACCTAGATAGCTGGTTGTTACAATACTATAAGTTACTCTTTTTATTATATAATAAGCTAATAATTTTAGATCTAGCAGAAATAGGTTCTCTCTACACTCTATAATAATGTTAAATACTATAGTAGCACTTTTTATACCTTTTAATTAAATACTTACTACTTATTATATGTTAATATAGTGTTAATTTAGACTTAACGTACCTAACAGGTTGGCCGGCCACACAGGTTGGCTAGCTACTTTTGCTAAGCCCCTACCACACTCTACCTATCTACATAATGCTTTAACAACAACACTAGATTAAATCTTCTAAAGAATGTTAAATATAGCTTACTTTTTAAGCTTTTAAATAAAACTTAAAACTTTTTTTACAACACGCTGTAGCTATTTATAATGTCTTTTACATAACACTAAGTAATTAACGCGCTAGATAGCCTTTAGAAGTAAAATACTAGCCTAAATTAAAAAATCTAACTAAGCTTAAAAAAAAGTAGTTATTAAGTATATACTTAAGTTTATTACATATAGATTTCTCTTTAGGCTTACAGCTATAGCTAATATAGCTAATTTCTTACGCGTAGAGCGTAATCTAGGCTAGGTTAGCTTAAACTAGCCTAGTATGTAGGTTAAGCACTGCTCTAAGTTTATAATAAAGTTTAATTATAAGTATAATTATAAAAGAGCGCTTTATAAAAATTTAAAAGTTATTTAAGGCTAGTGTTACCTAGTAGCTAACATAAAAGCTAAGTATAGTATCTAAAATAAAGACATGTATAACTTTAATAAGTTAGGCTTTATAATAGGCTAGATATTAACTAAAGTAGTTATTATAACTTTAGAAAAATAAAAACAGCTAAAAGCAATATAGTAAAGTAATAGAAAGTAGATAACAGTTATCTAAGGCATTAACACAATAAAGTAGGCTATTTTACTTTTTATTATTTTTAAGAGCTGCTATTACTTTTTTACTTAGTATAAAAAAAAATTTACTTTAGAACTAGGTTATTATAGTCTCTAAAAACAGCTAGATAATAAATAAGCTTAGGCTGCAGTAGTTAAAGCACTTTAATAAGCATATAAAGAGAAAAGTTATAAGCGCTTATTAGCTTTTTATTATTAATAGCTATAAAAGCTATAACTTGCTTAATTTCTAGTAGTACTATAAAAAAAATAAGATTATTACTATTTATATGCCTTTACACTTATTGCACCTTTTATAGCTTCTTAATGTAGGTTATTTTACCTTTTTAAAAAAGGCGTATAAACGCTAAGCTAAAGATTTTATATGTAACTAGATTACTTATATTATAAAACTTAAGTTTCTACTATGCTTTATACACGCCTATAATGCAGTAATTACTTTTAGTAATATTTAAAAAAAGGTTTAAAGCGCTAGTTTAGTTCTATTTAACCTAGAATAAGTTAAAATAGCTTTTAATATCTAGTTATATACTTTATTACTACTACTGCCTATTAATAATAAGCTCTAGTAGTTGTAAACCCTAAGTAATACTTTTAAATTTAGGTTATAATTAATGCTTATAAAAGTAAAAATTTAGAGGTATATAAATAGCTTACTAACATCTATAGTAAAGGCTTTTAAAAAAGTTTTAAAGAGGGTAGTAATTATTACGCATAAGCTAGTGTTAGCGTAAAAAGAGATTATAAAGCTTTAAGTAGTAAATAAGGCTGCTACATAACATAGATTACATAAAAGAAAGTAAATTTAAGTAAAAAAAACTTTAATAGTTAAGAATAAGGCTTATTTAACTACTTTAAAGAAGTTTAGAGCGCGTAGTAATAGGAAGAAGCTAAAGACACAGGTGTGCGCTAAAGAAGGTAAGCTAAGTTAAAAGTAATGTAAGTAGTGTAATTAGACTAGGCATAACTTACATACATGTAAAAAAGTAGCAGAAGTAGACTCTAAATAATATCTTATATTATATTACTCTATATAGAGCTAAAGTAGGCTGTTTTGCGCTAGAATAGGGTGGTTTTAGTGGGGGCTTAGCAAAAGTAGCCGGCTAACCTGTGTGGCCGGCCAACCTGTTAGGTACGTTATAGTACTATTAATATAAAACCTTACTGTATGCTTTTTATTTTATATATTATATAATAACTAACTTAAATAGTACAGTATGCTAGCTATTTTTACTATAGTTTATTTTTAAAGTGTGTTTTACTTTTATTTAGGTAGTTAGTTAAATTTCTCCAGCGCTCTCTTTCTTGCTATAGCTAGTAAGCAGTGCTGCTTTACTTAGGCGCTTATCACCCTCGGCTCACCCACTTTCAGGCTGCTCACCTGCTGCTCACCTGCTGCTCAGTCACGTTGCCCCGCGCTCCACTAATAGCTAATTGTACTAATTTAATAAGTCTGGCAGGCCCCTAGGATTTTGTTAAGTCTAGACAAGAAGGATGCTTAGAGGCAGTTTTTAAGCTTTAGGGTGCGTTTTAGAAGGGGGACAGAATCGTCCCTAAGGGCTAGGGACAAAATAGGCCCCCTTGCCATGCGCCCCCTAGTGTCTTACAACACAGTGCTATCCCTCCTTGCTAAGTTAGCTTGTGCTATGCCTTTGCAGTATAAAGGCACTATTGTGCTGCTAGGTTAAGCCTACCTAACTACCTTAGCTATTACTGCAACATTGTTGTCTTCTTAGCAGCATTACTATTAGTTTTAGAACTTTGTGATATTTTTCCTATTTTTCACTCTGTAGCGCCTTGTCTGTTAAAATGCTAGTAAAGATTTCTCTAGAGGCCTTTTTTAAGCGTGCTAGCCACAATGTGGCTGTTAAAAAGAAGAAAGATATTATTAACAAAAAGCAAATTCTAAAAGCACTTTAACTAAAAATAAAGAAAAACTACAAGTGTGTGTTAAAGCTATAAGATTAGTAAGTTTATAATAATATCTTTAAAAGTAGTACACCTTACTAACGTAAAATTTTAACATTAGATATAAAAAGTTAAATCTAGAAGTAAACCTAAACAATATTAAAACATCTAAGAACTATGTTATGTCTATTGCGCTTAGAATTAAGTGTAGGTATAGTAACAAAAAGCTAGGCTTATAGACTGTAGTTTAGTACTATAAAGACTTTACTGCTAGCTAGAGGTAAGCTAGGATAGAGAAGGAATAGGACAGCAAGGAGACTAATAAAGAGGGAGAGAAGAAGGAAAAAGTGAACGTAATAAGCCTAAACATAACGCTGTCTACCTTAAATGTAAGTTTACTGCGGCTATTTAGGTGTTTTATAGCGTTAGTACTAATTGCATTAGACAGTTTATTAAGTACAAGCTATACAATATCCTTAAGCTACTCTTTAGAAAGAGACTGCAAAGATACAGCTTATAAATTTATTTTTTTTACCTAGAAACATAGTAGTAGAAGAATAATTAGTTTGTGCTTCTAAAGCTGTAGTGTAGAGTTAAGATATAGGCTTTTATTATAGCCTGTGTTTTTAGCACTTTAAGAATTAGCAAATTTATAGAATTTACATGTTACCTTAAATCTAGTAGGGGCTTATGTTTTTAGGTAAGTCTGTTTTACTATAGCCTACATTAACTAATAGTAATAGGTTAGAAAACAATATTTACTATCTTTTATAATAAGTGCAGCAACATAGAATTTACTATACAACTTTAGTAAAACGCTAAGTACATAATGTTTACTTTAAATAAAAAGTAAAATTAATCTTTATTACACATGCACCTAATACTAATTACAGAATAGACTAAAGCATGTGTTGCATAAAGGTATTAAAACTTACCTACTATTTTATAATCTAATGCTTGTAATTGTTGCTATGTACATAGTAAGAAATGCATTTAGAAATTATAAGTTAATAAATAAAGTTCTAGCACTAAAACCTTTATAAAATAAGTAAATAATTTAACTCTACTAGAATCTAAGCGTCTTAGACTTGCTATTCTTTAAAGAAAGTAATAGAAAGATAGAGACTGCAAGCGCATTTAGCTAATACCTTTAAGAATAGGGCTTTTGTGCTAGCTACAACAAACCCCTAACAGTGCATGATTTTAGAGCAGAGGGTCTGATTCTTACCGGTACGTATACTGTTCCATGGCACTCTATATACCCAACTCATGCTGTGTGCAGACAGAAACTAGGTTCGCTGAAGAAACCCATGTTTGCTAATGACATAGGTTTAGGAGCTTTCCATTCTACCATTTTCCTCCAACTTCCTTCTTCTAAACCGAAATTTGTTCAGCCAAACAGCCTTGTAGCAGCTTTGCTTTTTGATCATCACATTCTCGCGTGAGGGCCATGGACTGACGGTAGCGATCGGGCTAAATCACAGTAACTTGAACCTGCTAAACAAGCGATGAACAGCAGATTATAAAGTCAGAAGGTTTATTCGCGACATATATCCAGTATAAGCTAATACCAAAAGGGCAGCCATGAGCAAATTTGCAAGGGAGAGGTAGGTAGGTGGACGGCACCGGGGTTTTGTGCTGCTGCTGTGCAGAGGTACGAGGCCGCTATCCAATACCATATCTTTATATTCCAATCGCATATGGACACAGGACGCTAGATAGAGAGTTTCTTGCTCTACGCATCGTTCAAAATGTCGGTGGTGCATCTGCAGTTGCCCAGCGCCTGAGGTCAGGCCGGATGGGAGAAAGGTTCAGCTGAGGGGCTGTTAAAGTTCTGTACAAGGCCCTCCAGAAGAAACGCTGTTATGCCCCTAAAGCTCTCAACAGTTTGCCGCCACGAGCAGTGAGGGTTGTCGAGCCGCACCGGCTACCATACCCATGAATCCACCGTAAGAGCAACTAGTGCTTTCTCACTCTCTAGCTCCGTGACATAATTTTCTCCACCCAGTCTCCGTACCATCGCATTCCACCAAAAATCTTTTGGGCCATATCTTAACGGTGTAGTGAACTCCCAATAATCTGGATACCAGCCCGCAGACTCCCAGTCTAAAAATGCCGAAATATGACCATCGAGAACCATGACATTATGATGCTTGAGATCGCCATGAGTGAAAACAATCGGATGCTGTGACTTTCGGATCTTCTCGGCAATTCTAACAGTCTCTTCAAACTCCTCTCGCGTCGTGAAGCTGTGGCTGGAGACCGTGCTGAAAAGGTGGTTGTTGAATTCTGCCTCGGACTCACACGGTCCGACAGCATGATTAGGGATGCGTACGCTCCTGATTGCAGTGCCCAAAACGGAACAGATCTGATTATTGCCACCTGGGCGTTCCCATCTCCGCATGACTTGCAAGATGCACTGCAGTTCTGCAAAAACACTCTCACGCTCGTTGTCGGTCATTTTCTCATACAATTCACCCAATTCTTTTCCCGGTATGCGTGTCATAAGAATCGAAACGGGCGCATGTGGTGTATCGGGATGATCGCCGTATGAAAGGATCTTTGACACTGGAAAGCCCGCCGCCCGCGCAATCATGGTTGCCGCTACTTCTTCAAGCCGCGTACCGTCTGACCACTTTAACACCAATCCAAACGGAAGGGCTGCGATCTGGTTATCGAATGGAATGCCACACCATCGGCAGTAGTGGTACGAGAAGGTCTGAAGGTAATCATGAACAAATCCGACAGCCCGACGAATAGTAGGCGGCAACAGCCGTGGTGCGGGTGGAATTGTTGAAGCCAAATCAACGGATCCAAGGACTTGGTGAGGCCAAGTAAAGGTAGGCAAGAGAATCTTGGGCACAAGATACCCTAGCCAACCCATCATGATAAGCTAAGAACAAGAGATATTGATTTGGGGATAGGGCCGTTGGGCCGTCCAAGAGACAGATCCGTGAAGATATTTGCGTGTCGTGATGCGTATGGGGCTTACGTGGACGGTCTTCCAATCCTACAAGGCCGATGTTTACTTCTCCGACGTCGTTCTGTTTCTTCGCGTCAGATCCTTCCTTAGCAAAGAGCAGCGCGTCCCGCTTCGTAACCAAGCTGTCAAATTTCTAGGTCTCCTAGAAGAGAGTCCAGGTCAAGCAGAAAATAATCGCATATATCGTTGAGAGAGAGAGAGAGAGAGCGTGATGGTGACGAGCTGCCTTTCATTGTTGTGATCACTGGGAAAAAGTTATCTCAGCGAGCTCAGACAGTCAAGGCTTTAATTAGCGCCACACTATACTCCTTAAAGTAAAGCTGTTTTCTTACAGTCTGCTAAGTTTTTTCTAAACTAATTAAAAGCTATAATTTTCTTAAAGCTCCTCCTGTCTAAGAGACTTTAGTGCGCTTATGTAAGTATAACACTTTTAATTTTTTTAACTATAGCTAGAAAATTAACTTCTTAATAATTTTTAGCCCTTTTTAGGTAGCTACAACTCTCTTACTTTTTTTATACTATTATTAGTACTATACCTATAATTAATCTTACTTTAACAAGAAAATTCTAGCTTTTATATGCAAAAACATGTTATTTATTATTATTTTTTTACTTAACACCTGCTACTTACTTACCTTACTAGCTTTATTATATCTTTTATTTTAATAACATTGTCTTAAGGCTTTTCTACCTTCTAGCATTTTAATTTATAGTATACTATAGAGTTATTCTTGCTACTTTTTATGCTTTTATTATCTTTCTTGCTGCCTAACTCTTTTAATTTTTTATTTAACACACACCTACTAACTACTTACTAGCCTCTTATATTTTAAGTAGATAAACTTATAAAAGTACTTTAGCTTCTAAGATAGCTTAATTTTAGTATTAGTAACTTTCTACACACTTTTTATGTTAATTTAGTTCTATATACCTATCTATCTGCTGCCTACATATTATATATTTATGTAGCTTTAGAACAACTATATAGTTTAAAGATACTCTTAAGAGATTAATATACATCTAAAAATATAGTTAATATTAAAAAGCTATTATATAAACTTAACTTATTAGTAGCACACTCCCTTTTTACAAAGTATAATATTAAGACTAAGGTAAAAATAAGTAGCTTTAATATTAGTAATTTTAATAGCTAAATTATAGTTACTACACTAAAGTAGTCTTTATTACTTTAGAATCTAATATAAAACTATTAAAGTGCTTAGTCTAGTTATAAAGTAAAAAAAGTGTTAACTAATTTTACTCTTTACTTAATTACTTTTATTATTATGTAAAAGTGTGCTAAAAAGTAATTAAATTATTTTTTAAAGATACTTAAACATTATCTTTATAGTAGTAATATAAGAAAGTGTGTTATTAAAGTTATATCTAGTCTTAGCTTATGCAACTTTTATAAGATTATTAATAAAAAAATTAGATATATTATAAAATAGTTAAAAGTTTAGTAGGTATATTCTCTAACATTTTTTTTTAATTCTAGCGCTAAAAAGTTTACTAAAATAGTAATAACTATAGCTTAAAACTCTTAGCTTATTATTATTTATAATAATTTTAACTATTTAGACTAAACTTATAATTATGCTCTAGGTGTGCTAACATAAATTATGTGTAATCTTATAACTGCTCTTACTGTTAAGTGCTTATAGCTACTAAAAAGCAGTCTTTAATAAAGCATGCTTAACTATACTATTTCTCTTTAAGTAAAATCTATATACTAGGCCTTTAGTATAAAACAAGATTTAATATTAAAAGAGATTACATATTATTATTTTTTAAGCACAGTAAGTTCTGTGCACAGAGCTACTATATAGTTAATGTTTAATTCACATGCTATAGCCCTTTTAAGTATGCTATTAGTTAACGTTCTTTTACTGTAGCTAGTTAGTTAGGTCTAAAACCTTAGTACTATTTTCTATAATAAAAGTACTATTAAAAGGACATATAAGGTTTATAACAACATCTAGATTAAATAGTTTAGGCTAAGTAAAAACTTTTTATCTAATACTTTTACTATATTTTTTAATTATCTTTAGCTAATATAGGGTAATTAAAAGATAGTAGAGCATATTTAGAGTATCTGTTATAAGCAGTAGCTTACTTACTGTCTATATAATTACTACAACTAGATAGTTAGCCTTTCTGCATATTTCTATATTCTCTAGGCTTTAACTTATATAATTATTAAAACTTATTAAAGTAGTCCTAATAGTGTTAAGTCTTTTTTAAATATACTTTATAATATTACTTACTAAAAGTAAACTAGTATTAACTATAATAACATTAAGTATTATTTAGTTACTTTGCTTATTTAGTTAAGTTAAAATACTTAAATTCTTTCTTTTTTTTATACTAAAATAGCTTATTAAAGTTATTTTACTAAAATAATTAGTAACTTTAACACATCTACTTATAAAAAATTACTAGGCCTAGTTAATAATGCTATCTATTATTTTATACTAGTATAGTATAAAAAGGTTCTTAATAGTATCTAGCTAAGTATCTTTATATACTAGGCTTAAAAGAGTAGTGCTTCTATTACTAGTAATCTTATAACACTTTATTAATACTTTTAAGAAATTAAGGTATTTCTTATACTTAAGCGCGCTATTAAGTTTAGTAATATTAGCCTAATTTACTAAATAGTTAATTTATTAATTATCTTATTTTATAGCAGCAACTAATAGTGCTATAGTTTTAAAATGCTACACCTACAGTAGCTTCTTATAGATAAGGTGTCTAACCTAGAACTTTAGCGTGCTATTTTAGCCTCTAGTCTAGTAAATATTACTAGGCAAGAAAATATATTTAAAGCTATTAACTTTACACTTAAGCATGTAAACTATATGTATAAGCTAGATATATAGAACCTAAAGAATAAAACACATAATGTAAACTTAACATTTAACTACCTAGCACTAACTAGTAGATATACTACCTATCTTTAAGCTAGCCTAAAGCATAGTTTTAGTAAGAAGTTAAAAAATAATTATACTTATTAGTCTATTACTTAAAAGGTTTTTGCGCTAGTAAGTTAGCTTTAAAAAAAAAAAATTTTTACTTATTTAATACTTAGTATAATGTAGCAGTAATAAGTTTTAATATTATTTAAATAAGTCTTAATAAGCTTAATAAGAAAGTTATAAAATTTAACTAAAATATTATTTAACTAGCTTAAAGTATTTTGCTAGGTTTTATTATTATTAACTTAAAGTTAATTAACTCTAATAAGGCTAAGTTTATCTACACTGCTATATATGCTAAGGTAGTTAATAATATCTTCTATGCGCCTTTAGACTTTAGAGATACTAACTAGTCTAATATAGACATGTTATAGCTATCTTAGTTACATAATATTAAAGGTGTATAGTGTACTTATAAGTTAGTCTAATTTATCTATTTATTCTAGCTATGTAATGCTATTATATAGCTTTATAGAAGTCTATGTATATAAGAACTACTATAAGAAACCTAACCTAAGCTAACTACTTTTACTCTTAAACTAGTCTATTTACCTACACTGCAGCTTAATAAGGACACTAGCCTAGGCATAATCTGCATAAAATAAGATAGAAGGTGACATCTTCTAGGGGAACTAACTTACAAGACTAGCCGCTGCAGTCTATAGGCCCTCTACAAGCGCACAGAGCCGCCTAGAGCCCTAGAGGAGGGCGATGTTAGGATCCTTAGCCTCTACTATAGCCTAGTAGAGGCGACTGCAGCATTAGAGCTTACTTATTTTATGTGTAGCCCCCTAGGCCTAGAGCTGTTAAGCGCTTATCTAGCATAACTTCTTAAGTAGTAGAGATAAAAGTGTGTGCTTTAGACTAAACATATTACTTTTACTAATATTACTATATTACTTAATATATATTTAAACTATTACAGCTATGTTTTTTACTTACTTACACTTTTTAGCTTAAATAAAGTTTAGTAAAATCTAAGTAGTAATAATAACTTTAAGTTAGGCTACTAGCCTTTTTTTAGTAAGTAGCTAAAGTAAATTCTTTAAATTATACTTAATAATAAAGATATATTTAGGGGCCTTAGTAGTGTTAGGTTTAAACTATGTAGCAAAATTATAAAAAAAGTAAAGAGACATAGTAAAAATAAGGCAGCTACTAAGCGCTAGTATCTTTTTTTAGGTCTAGAGGGCTTGTTAATAATAAGTAGGCATAATAGTGTTAAAAAAGTAGATAGTAAATATAACATTAAACTTAATAAAGTAGCTAACACACACTACAACAAAGTTTAGAAGGTCTCCCTGTGTAACACTAGCTTTAAAAAGGAACACTTTCTAGTTATCTTAGCTAGCTAGAGCGCGCGTGAGCTTTTTACGTGCAAGGTAGGCAGAGACATTAATGTTAAGAAAGCCTTATACTATATCTACACCTACATAAACACTATTGCCTACTGTAAGCTTTACAGTAATAATAGCTTTTTTAGCGCTAGTGCTAAAGTTAAGCATATTTTTATTAGCTTTTAGGTAGGCTATTACTAGTGCAGCAGAGGTATTATAAGCTTATAGTATGCTAGTGTCACGATTGTGCACGAGTAAGGTTATAGAGCTTCACAGAGGTCTAGTTCAATTACTACGTGAGGTATCATAGTAGGTACAAGACGTTGTGTGAGGAACAGGAAGGTTTAGGAGGAAATTAGTAATTAAATACTTAGCTTAGAAGTCTAAGCGCTTTAGGTATAAATTAAGCCTGTTCTAGGTTTAGTTAGTGTTAAAGCAGTTTATGCTTAAGTTTATGTCTATGTTGTGTTATGTTTATGTTAGACGTGCACTAATAATACTCTAGTACACGTCTAATACAGTTATGTCTAGGATCTGGGGAGGATACTGTGACAGTACCCCCCCCCTTATTAGGAAGAGAATCCTTTACATTAGTAGTTCTAGCATTAGGTTGTCTTTATTAGGGTATAGGTTTAGTTTAGATAGGTATTAGGCGTAGAATTAGGTTACTGCAGAGTTCTCTTACAGGGCTTCTGCAGGTTCCTACAACAGTTTGTTGTATCTAGTCTATTTTATAAGGTATTTGTAGATACATTTCTTCTTATTAAACTAGATCTATTTAACATCTTCTATAATATATTTTAGTTTGTTGTTTATAATAATAGGTTTAAGTAGCAGGTTTAGCTGTCTAGGTAGATAGTTAGATTTAGGGGCTACTTAGCGCAGCAACAATACGTGGAACACAGGGTGTATCTTTA